TTTCAACAATGATTATATAAATAGAATGAATTAAGAAATCATCTATTCTATTAACTAGATTGTTTATACACATTCATAAATAACAAATCATAATCATAAGTCAATTAATATGGCTTTTATGTCAAAAATAGAACTCATTTATTATGTGATTTATCAATAATCATATTATCTATATAGAATATGACATATATGTACATAGATACAACGAGATCATAAGAGAGAGGGAGTGAGAAAGAGAGAGGGAGAGGGAGAGGGAGGGAGATCAGAGAAAGCTCATTAATTATTAATCAATTAATTAGCTTATTATGATTATGTAATACATAGGGTGAATGTGAATAATCAATAATAGTTGGATAATGTAATAGGAAGATGGAGATGAATTCACTTTGTATTGGTTTACTTGAATATTCCTATTGATGTGTTAGGACTGCAAGTGATCAGTCTCTTGTTGGCATATGTGCATACTGTGCGGATTGTCTCGATATTGCCTTAATTTACAAGCATTATAAACAAAGATGGATAGTGAGATGCTAGCAGTGGAATGGAGGACGCGCGTTTCGTCCTATTTGGGACTCGTCAGCTTGATGTACCTGCATTTCAGAGTTGATATTCACTCTAGGACTCGAACCCAGTACCATCCGTTTCAAACGTCATCGCGCTATCCAGTTAGCTACTGAGTCCTGATAGCCACTTGCTTGTGCAATGGGATGAATTTTAAATTCATTTGGTGTTGGTTTACTTGAATCTTCCTATTGATGTGTTAGGACTGCAAGTGATCAGTCACTTGTTGGTATGTGTACAATATTATGTGTATTGCCTCGATATTGCCTTAATTTACAAGTATTATATGTAAAGATGGATAGTGGCTAGTAGTGGAATCCAGTTTGACGCGCGTTTCATCCTATCTGGGACTCATCAGCTTGATGTACCTGCATTTCAGAGTTGATATTCACTCTAGGACTCGAACGAAATACCGTTCACTTCAAATACCATTACGTTATCCACTTAGCTACTGAGTTCATTGTTGTTTAGAATGCTTGTGAATTAAGGTAATATCAAGGCAAAATGTACACATGTCAACAAGAGACTAATCAGTTTCAATCTTACAAATATCACCAGTAAAATTCAAGTAAACAACAATATCAAGTGAATTTATACTTTAGTATAAGGTTGTGGAGATTATTAATTTATTGATCGATATCATGAATCGATTGATTTTAGGCCGCCATTGAAAACCTATAAGCACTGAGCAGCTGCTTTGTCCTACTGTGGAACACTTGAGCAGTGCGAGTCAACGACCCCGCCCCCCCCCCCCTTCGCGAGATTCGAACATACGACCTATCAGTCTCAATCACGAACACTTAACCTACTAAATCATTGAGTTATCATCCAACAGTGTTCATGTCTAACCTTAACCAATCCACGAAATCGAGCGCCATCATTCACCATTATCTTCAATAAATTACCTATCTTACACTGTTGAAGAGTTCTATAATAGGACGAAATGATACTACCAGATCTATCAATAATAATCAAATATCAATCGATTTATGATTTCAATCAATTGACATTTTCCATTCAAAGTTATAAGATTATACATATATTCTATCCAATTAATAATCAATATTGAATGAAACGAAATAAATCAAACATCAATTACTATTTGTTATTCAATCATCAATCAATGTAATTAGTTCATTAAAACAAAGCATTATTATTATTATTATGTATATATATATATATATATATATACACCCCTTCCACCCGACCCCACCCCCCGACTCACCCCCCCCTACACACACACACACACCATTCAATAAAATAGTCTATAAACAATAAAACTTTTTCTTTTTCTTTTTATAATTTTCATTTTCATTTTCATTAGAAACAAATTTTAAATAAGAAGAAAAAAAGGTGACTTTTTTCTTTCTTTTTTTCCTCTTTTTTTCTTTTTCTTTTTTTTTCTTCTTTTTTTTTACAACTTGGATACAGTATGAATTTTGTTTTGTTTTGTTTTATTCATAAGAAATGGGGATTAAAAAGTAATCAGCCTAATAATTTATTGTATATTGAATTTAATTTAATAAAACAAAATTAATATAAATAAAAGTAAATGAATAAAGGGGGTGGGGAGTTTGTGGAGATTTTAGTAATTTTAATAGTTGAATTCATGAATCAATTGAAGCTAGATTATCATGGAAAACCTGGAAGCATTGAATAGCCTTTTTGTTCTATTGTGGGATTTATCAGTGGCAGTAAGCATCCACTATCCCACCTCGCAGGGTTCAAACCTAGGATTTACTGGATCAGTAGAGTTTAACTGGGTCTGTTGTGAGACAGTAACTGATTGATGATAATGGTGGATGTGTTGTTCAATTACGTGGATTAGTTGATATTAGACATTAACACCGTTGGATACTGGCTCAATGGTCTAGTGGTTAAGCGTTCACGTGTGAGACCGATAGATCCCGTGTTCGAATTTTGCGAGTCTAGCTCATGGATTTGCACTACTGAGGAGTCCCACAATAGGACAAAACAGCCGTCCAGCACTTTCAGGTTTTCTATCGTGATCTAGCTTCAATTCACTCATGATCTCAACAATTGAAATAATAGAATGTTCTATTCACTACCTTCATGTAGAAGAAGTGTTGTTTACGAAATTGAAAAGATAAAAAACGGATGTTCATTGCAATAATCAAGTTCGTCGATGTGAAAGATTCATCTAGAAGAGTTGGAAAACTTTGATTTCAAACTAATGGTGTACATGAACTTCAAGATACTGAAGGAACAAATGGCGTATGAAACAATTTTTAATCGGCTGACTACCATGAGACTGTATCTACTTAAATTGCTGTACTGTTGCGTTGATTAGACATTTAGGTTGAAGGCTTCAGTAGTGGCCTCCTATGAAAACCATCTGCTTCGGTCTTGGAAACCGATCAATATCACAGCTCACACACAAATCAAGTGACTTTTATGGCGCATATGTATTCGGTGCGTTTTTGTACTAATATATATGTGTCCAAATAAATGAATAATGTAAACCTTAAAGAGTGCAGAAACATATACAGGAAGAAGGGGGTGGGGAGGATAAGAGTGCCGTTGTTAAAACGTTTATTTACGTAGAATCTATTTGGCTTGTTTTTTTTGACAAACACTTTCTTTTCTACAGTTTTTATAAATAAGTGTTAACGAGAACCGAAAAACGGAACTAGTCAAACCTTTAATACCAACCAATACAATAAAAGCAACATTCGTCGATACAACACAGCATGCAACACTCGATTCACACTTGATGGAGAAGATTTGAAAGATGTAAAACTCTTTACATATCTGGGTAGCATCATTAATGAACATGAAGGATCTGATGCAGATGTGAATGCATGAATCGGCATAGCAAGAACACCATATCTAAAATTGAAGAACATCTGGAACTCAAAACAACTGTCTACCAACCAACACCAAAGTCAGAATTTTCAATAAAATGTGAAAACAGTTCTACTGTATGGTGCGAAAACCTGGAGAACTACGAAACCCATTATCCAAAAGATACAGGTATTTATTAACAGCTGTCTACGGAAAATACTTCGGATCCGTTGGCCAGAGACTATTAGCAACAACCTACTGTGCGAGAGAACAAATCAGATCCCAGTGGAGGAAGAAATCAGGAAGAAGCGCTGGAAGTGGATAGAATATACACTGAAGAAAGCACCCAATTGCGTCACAAGGTAAGCCCTCATCTGGAATCCTCAAGGTCAAAGGAGAACAGGAAGACCAAAGAACACATCACTCCGGGAAATGGAGACAGACATGAGAAGAATAAACAATAATTGGATAGAACTCGAAAGGAAGGCCCATGACAGAGAGGGTTGGAGAATGTTGGTCGGCAGCCTATGCTTCATTGAGGGTAACAGGCGTAAGTAAGTAAGTACAATAAAATTTGAAACTACTTGCGGTTTATAAATAAAGAAGCCACTTTCTATACTATTTTGACGTATTCAAGTCATATTATTGGTATCGTTTCAGGTATAGGGTTAATTAATGTTAATGTTAACACCATTCGATGCCAGCTCAGTAGTCCAGTAGGTTAAGCGTTCGTGCGCGTATCTCAAGGCCATGGGTTTGAATCCCGAGAGCGGGATCGTGTATGCGCACTGTTGAAATGTACCACGATAGAACGAAACGTTTGTCCAGTGCTTCCAGGTTTTCAATGGTGATCTAACATCAATCGGTTCATGATCTCAATCAAAAAATTAATCTCCACAACCCCTAAACTGATAGTGTTTATTATTATACAACAATTTAATTATTTACTTGTGAAATGGTCAAATTCTAATGTAACCTAGTTTAAAGTAACCGCTAAAATGCCTTCAATCAAAGTTTTATGTTATCTCAGAAGGGGTTTTGTAGTAATTTCAATGGTTAAGATCATGAGTCAGTTGAAGCTAGACCACCATGAAAAACCAAGGAAGCACTGTATGACCGTTTCGTCCTATTGTGGGACTCCTCAGTAGTGCGCATCCACGACCTCGCCCCCTGCGAGACTCGAACCCAGGACCTACTGGTTACGCGCGCGAGCATTTAACCACTAGACCACTGAGCCGGCATCCAACGGTGTTAATGTCTAACTTCAACTAATCCACGAAATTGAGTGACACATCTATCATTGTCTTCAATGAGTTACTATCTCACAACAGACATGGTTGAATTCCACTGGTCAATCACTACTTCTCACTAGAACTCCATGATATACCTCTTGAAGCCAGTCACTAGTGAGTAGAACTATATGACTGTTTCATTCTGGTATGAGATTTCTCAACGGATGTGTATCTACTACTACCTAACCATATATCGAACCTAAGATCTTTAGGTCTCATATCCAGCTCTTGATATTTAGACTATTCAAATAGTAATTACAAGTTAATTGCTATCTTTAGTAGTTATCTTCCACCTATTCCACATAGGAAATTACTTTAGCTTGCATTATAAAAGCAACTTACTTTTTAAATAAATATCTATATGGAATGTTGATCCTTCATGAAATGTTGGAACATTCAATTTAGACAATCTAATACTCAAACTGACCATACTGAAAAAAAAAAAGAAAAGAAAAGAATCTTTTTGTTTGTAATAATTAGTTAAGATCATGAGTCAATTGAAGTTAGACAATCATGAAAAACTTGGAAACATTGTTTGTTGACTGTTTCGTCCCGATGTAAAACTCCTCAGTAGTGTGAATCTACGATCCAGTATAAGAGATTTGAACCTAGAACCTTCGATCTAGCCATACAATGCTTCTAGATTTTCCATGGTGATCTATCTTTAATTGACTCATGAATTCATTGATGAAATTATTACAATCTTCATAAAACATTTTTTTCTGATAATAATCATCATCATGTGCTTACTAGTGACTAATCTTCAAGAGGTATTTCTTGGAATTGTAGTTAGAAACGGTGACCAATGGAATTCAACTGTATCTCTTGTGAGACATTTACTGACTGTAGGCTGACTGACTGTACATTCTAGTCTTGTAAATCTAATTCGAATGATTCAAACCAGTGTTACTATGGTTTATATTCGTAATCACTATGTACTAAACAGGTATCTAACAAATTTATAAATATATGTTTGTCCTTCGTCAATCAATCAGCTACAACGTAGGACTAGGCATATATATGTATTGGTCCCAATTGTCATGCCTTATTAGCACAACAATCTGAACACCGAATTCATAGAAGTAGTTAAGATTACGAATCTATCTTAGCTGAACCACCATTATAACCTATGAAGCATTGAACAACTGTTTTTTGTCCTGGTATCGAACTCCTCAGCATTACGCTCGATGTCATAAAGTGATTTAGATTATACATGCATATCATTGGATAAAGGTTCTGATACGAGACCATATATCTTGGGTTTGATTCTGAATATATACTGTTAAGATGTCCCATACCAGAACAAAACTGATGTATAGTACTCATTGGTTTCTAGTGGTTTTCTTTTAGATTGGATCAGTTCGTGATTGTAACTATAATATATTATGTATTACTGATTCTTGGCAATTATGTAATACATACTCCGGAAAACGGGGGAAATGTTCAGAAAGTTCTGACTAGTTCACTTTTCTTAGTATTTTCCAGGACAAATCTAAAAAAAGCAATGAATTGTGTTGTTCTTCAGGATCCTGGAGCACATATGCAGTGCTTGAAATCCCTAACTTCTGGTTTGTACCATGTTGGTAGATACAGACTACTCGATTGGGGTCTGCACGACTATCGTAATTAATGGTTGGAGACTGTAGCTGACATGGCTCAGAATCGATCACAATGGCGTCAGTGTATACACTCTCGGTATTCCCACAAACCATGAGATTAAAATCCCTTCATATTTTTCTTTGTATGAACTAATTCTTTTTTCCTGTACTATCTACTTATATGCAATCATTCTTCTCTATATATTACCACCACTGAATTAACTACTTCTATGAATCCGGTGTTCATGTTGTTGCGTTAATGAGGTATGACAACTTGAACCGATATATATATATATATATATATATATATATATATATATATATATATATATGCCCAGTCCTACGTTTTAACTGGCTGACTGATTGATTGAGCACACGTGCACCACTGGTCTGGGAATCAGGCTTTTACAACTCCCCTAGATGGATCCTTCATATCCACCAACACGGTTAAAGCATCAGTCACTCGCTTTTCGTCCTCTCAATTTCGAAAACAACACCAGGGCCATGAGAAGTCAGTGGGTAGAACTTCTCTATCAGTGGCTGTATGCACGTGGCGATGTGAGAGCATTTGCAGAGGGAGAGCTAAATTTCAACACCCTCGACCGTATCAGGGCATTTTAAGGTCTAAATGAGAACAATAACAAGGCAGATTCACATGCCTATAGCATACAATTCTTTTTGAACCTAGCACAAAACAATAGCATCATTCATTTTCCTAACACCTACCCTTGGCAGATTAGGCAACTCAAACGTCCCAGGAACACTATCCTGGCATACAATCTAGGTAGCCATCATATAATCAATATAGTCCATAGTCTAAAACGTAAACCTTTTCATTTAGTTAAAAAAATCAGCATAGTGGTTATTGATATTATTAAGTTTTTCATTGAGATCATGAACCGATTAATGTTAGACCACCGTTGGAAACCTAGAAGCACTGGACAGCTGTTTCGTCCTATTGTGGTACTCTTCAGCAGTGCGCATCTACGATCCCTCTCTGCAGGATACAAACCTATTACCTTTAGTCTCGTTCACGAATGCTTAACCTACTGGACCAATAAGCAGGCATCCAATTTTGGTAATGTCTAACCTCAATCAATCCACAAGATTGTGCAACCATCTACTATTGTACTGACATATATACCTATCTCTACCCAACATGAGATTGTAGATATACACAATTGACGAGTCCCATATTAGGACGAAACAGTCATTGAATACTTCTAGGTTTTCAACGATGATCTAACCACCATCGGTTTATGATCTGAATTCAAAGAAAAAGAAAAGTCCATAGATAAAACATACCTTGATATAGATAATTCTGTATAAGGTAAAGAAGTTTTAGGAAATAATAAACGTATGAAATCATGAACCGATTAATGTTAGACTACCATTAAAAACGTGGAAGCACTTGACGGTCGTTTCGTCCTATTGTGGTACTCTTCAGTAGTGCGCATCTACGATCCCTCTCTGCAGGATACAAACCTATTACCTTTAGTCTCGTTCACGAATGCTTAACCTACTGGACCAATAAGCCGGCATCCAATTTTGATAATGTCTAACCTCAATCAATCCACAAGATTGTGCTACCATCTACTATTGTACTGACATATATACCTATCTCTATCCGACATGAGATTGTAGATACACACAATTGACGAGTCCCACATTAGGACGAAACAGTCATTGAATACTTCTAGGTTTTCAACGATGATCTAACCACCATCGGTTCATGATCTGAATTCAAAGAAAAAGAAAAGTCCATAGATAAAACATACCTTGATATAGATAATTCTGTATAAGGTAAAGAAGTTTTAGGAAATAATAAACGTATGAAATCATGAACCGATTAATGTTAGACTACCATTAAAAACCTGGAAGCACTTGACGGCCTTTTCGTTCTATTATGGTACTCTTCAACAGTGCACATCCAAGATCTCGCTCGCAAGATTCTAACCCATTACGTTTAGTTTCACTAGTGAATGCTTAACCTACTAGACTACTGAGCCAGAATTCAATGGTGTTAATATCTAACCTCAATCAATCCACCAAAATGGTGCAAACCATCTACTATTGTACTGACATAGATACCTATCTCTACCCGACATGAGATTGTAGATACACACAATTGACGAGTCCCACATTAGGACGAAACAGTCATTGAATACTTCTAGGTTTTCAACGATGATCTAACCACCATCGGTTCATGATCTGAATTCAAAGAAAAAGAAAAGTCCATAGATAAAACATACCTTGATATAGATAATTCTGTATAAGGTAAAGAAGTTTTAGGAAATAATAAACGTATGAAATCATGAACCGATTAATGTTAGACTACCATTAAAAACGTGGAAGCACTTGACGGTCGTTTCGTCCTATTGTGGTACTCTTCAGTAGTGCGCATCTACGATCCCTCTCTGCAGGATACAAACCTATTACCTTTAGTCTCGTTCACGAATGCTTAACCTACTGGACCAATAAGCCGGCATCCAATTTTGATAATGTCTAACCTCAATCAATCCACAAGATTGTGCTACCATCTACTATTGTACTGACATAGATACCTATCTCTATCCGACATGAGATTGTAGATACACACAATTGACGAGTCCCACATTAGGACGAAACAGTCATTGAATACTTCTAGGTTTTCAACGATGATCTAACCACCATCGGTTCATGATCTGAATTCAAAGAAAAAGAAAAGTCCATAGATAAAACATACCTTGATATAGATAATTCTGTATAAGGTAAAGAAGTTTTAGGAAATAATAAACGTATGAAATCATGAACCGATTAATGTTAGACTACCATTAAAAACCTGGAAGCACTTGACGGCCTTTTCGTTCTATTATGGTACTCTTCAACAGTGCACATCCAAGATCTCGCTCGCAAGATTCTAACCCATTACGTTTAGTTTCACTAGTGAATGCTTAACCTACTAGACTACTGAGCCAGAATTCAATGGTGTTAATATCTAACCTCAATCAATCCACCAAAATGGTGCAAACCATCTACTATTGTACTGACATAGATACCTATCTCTACCCGACATGAGATTGTCGATATACACAATTGACGAGTCCCACATTAGGACGAAACACTCATTCAATACTTCCAGGTTTTCAACGATGATCTAACCACCATCGGTTCATGATCTGAATTCAAAGAAAAAGAAAAGTCCATAGATAAAACATACCTTGATATAGATAATTCTGTATAAGGTAAAGAAGTTTTAGGAAATAATAAACGTATGAAATCATGAACCGATTAATGTTAGACTACCATTAAAAACCTGGAAGCACTTGACGGCCTTTTCGTTCTATTATGGTACTCTTCAACAGTGCACATCCAAGATCTCGCTCGCAAGATTCTAACCCATTACGTTTAGTTTCACTAGTGAATGCTTAACCTACTAGACTACTGAGCCAGAATTCAATGGTGTTAATATCTAACCTCAATCAATCCACCAAAATGGTGCAAACCATCTACTATTGTACTGACATAGATACCTATCTCTATCCGACATGAGATTGTAGATATACACAATTGACGAGTCCCATATTAGGACGAAACAGTCATTGAATACTTCTAGGTTTTCAACGATGATCTAACCACCATCGGTTCATGATCTGAATTCAAAGAAAAAGAAAAGTCCATAGATAAAACATACCTTGATATAGATAATTCTGTATAAGGTAAAGAAGTTTTAGGAAATAATAAACGTATCAAATGATTATATTTAATTAAATTATGTAATTGTAAATGAATAGAATCTAATCTTGTTAATGCAGCACTAGCTGTTTGACCACATTTATGCATTTGTTCATTATAATATGTAATAAAATGACTACAATTCATTAAAGTTAAATGAGGATAGTGATTAGATGATTGAATAATAGGAATCAATGATCGATTGTTATGATATAGAATTGTAGATAGATCACTATAATTTGATAGAAGATAACGAAATTTCATAACCTATTAGATAATAATAGAAAAAAAAAACGATTGTTACTATGGAGAAAAAATATCAATGAAGTTTGAATATAATTTAAAATTTAAAAAAACAATATGGTTACCTAGACGATATTACATAATCTGCTTTAAGAGAGTTCGGTTATTCAAGTTTACATGAATAGGACACTTGTCTCCTCTTTAAAGCAGTCATTCTTGCGGTGGTTTATACTCACTGTACAACATTCATCTTTTCTGCAGTCTGTGGACCGTTCTTTGTCAAAATGACGAGTGTTCGGTGCGTTGACCTCCATAGCTACGTCGACCCGCCGGGACACCAACATCCGATATCTACCCGGCACCTGGGACGTTTGACACCCGTGCTCCACCGGTCTGCTAAGCCATCTACATCCGATGTCCGCCCAGAAGCCGCACGTCCTATCACACCCAACGCCGTCCCGCCAGACGCCACCTCTTCATACTAGACTGCTCCAACCGACACCTTGGCTACAGGCTTACAACGGCGTCCTCAGAACAGCAACCTTCCTCTCCTCTAGTTGGCAGCGACACCAAATGTAGTGAACACGAACATGGGTGAGGAGCAATCGAATGTATTCGACAACAAAATTACAGAACTTGTTAATAAAATCTAACAATCATATATTAAATGCTCAATTTGCAAAATGTCCATCAATTATGCCAAAATGACTCAGAATTCATTATTCTTGCATTTCCATACAAATTGCATTCTGTTTTCATTCTTTATTGTTTGGTCTTTTTGTCTGTCTGCTGCCAGACATATTGTTCACGACTAATATCATATACTGCCTATGTCTACATAAGTAGCACACACTACAGTAGAACCAAGCACATACATACATCGATTCAAGTTGCCACACCTCATTAACACAACAATACGAATACCAGATTCACAGAAGTGATTAACTCAATGGTGTAATATATAAAATAAAGATTGTGTATAAGGAAGAAAGAATTAGTTCATAGAAAGAAAGATATGAAGCGATTTTAATCTCATAGAAGACAGAGAGCTTATACACCTACGCCATTGTGATCGATTCTAAGCCATGTCACCCACAGTCTCCAACCGTTGATTACGTTAGTCATGCGAACTCCAACCGACTAGTCTGCATTTACTAACATGACTCAGACCAAACATTAGTGACTTCAAGGACTGATGTAATGTTTTGATTTGGCCGCCCCTAACTTTTTTCCAACCATGCCTTACACTAGTCATCATCGCGCTTCGTGGTATTCGGTGTTCAGGCATACGCAACACACACATTCACATATATATATATATATATATATATATATATATATATATATATATGTCTACGCAAAATACTTCAGTTCCGGTGGCCGGAAACTATAAGCAACAACCTACTGTGGGAGAGAACAAATCAGATCCCAGTGGAGGAAGAAATCAGGAAGAAGCGCTGGAAGTGGATAGGACACACATTGAGGAAATCACCGAACTGCGTCACAAGACAAGCCCTCATATGGAATCCTCAAGGTTGAAGGAGGAGAGGAAGACCAAAGAATACATTACGCCGAGAAATGGAGATAGATACGAGAAAAATGAACAAGAATTGGATGGAACTAAGAAAGAAGGCCTAGGACAGAGTGGGTTGGAGAATGCTGGTCGGTGGCCTATGCTCCATTGGGAGTAACAGGCGTAAGTAAAGTAAGTAATATATATATATATATATATATATATATATATATATATATATATATATATATATCTGAATCAACTTACCACAGTTAATATCTTACGTAATAACGAAGAACTTGGTGATACAATCACTTTTGTTTCAAAAAAACTATTAATTAATTGTAATTCAATATGATCTAATGTATGATTATATATAAAATATTGATTTTCTTTATAATCATAATCAATATGATCATGATCTTGATCTTGATCTTGATCTTGATCAATCATTGATAATGTATTCCTTGATAAAATATCTTTACTCATTGAAGTGAATAATTGATATACTTTAGTATAACAATCATTATGATTATCATTACTATTAGTAGTACTAGTAGTAGTACTAGTACTGGTAGTAGTAGTAGTAGTAGTACTGGTAGTAGTATTATAAATGGATTTGATTGGATTGAAATATTTCAAGTACTTGTATAATTTCCATATAGATTGAATAGTAAATTTTGTTAAATATTTAGCTTGATATAATTCTTTAGATAAATTTTTAATTAAATAATAGGCGGTACGATTATAGATTTGTAAAAATGCTTTCTGTTGATATAATATACCATATTGAACCTTGAATGAAGGAATGAATGAATGAATAGGAGAGAATGGTAGTCAATATACGAATATTGATATCATTGAACAAAGAAATATTGATACAAAAAGGGATACTGAATATAAATGTACTTGATTTGTGTAATACTACCTGGATGGTCAGATCGAAGCAGGTGGTTGACTTAGGGGGGGGGAGCCATACATCGAACCTTCAATGGGAAGGTTGCCCTTAAATATTCTGGTACGGTTGAGGGTGAGGAGAATCTAGTCTCTTCCTCCAAATGCTCTCACATGGTCAGGCATATACAGCCACTACCGGAGAAGTAATATTCACTGAATTCTTGCGGCTGCCGTGTTGTTTACAAAATTGACAGGATGAAAACTGAATGTCCGGTGCTTTAATCAAGTTCGTAGATATAGAAGATTCATCTAAGAGAGTTAAAAATCGTTAGTCTAAACCAATAGTGTACATAAACTCCAGGATCCTTGGGAAACAAATCACGTATGGAACAATTGTTGGTCACCGGCTACCATGTGACTTCATCTCCTTACGTTGCTCTATTACCTTGTGGATCAGGCCTTTAGGTGGAAGGCTCCAGTTGTGGCCCTCTATGAAAAGCACTTGCTTCGGTTTGAGCATGCGGGTAGTATCCCAGCTCTTACATAAATCGAATGATTTATGTGGCGCATATCTATTTGATGCCTCCTTGTACTAATATTTATGCGTTTAAATAAATAAATAAAAACGTAAAAGTCTAATCAACAACACAGTAGAGCAACGTCATGAAATGCAGTCCCGTGGTAGTCGTTGACGAACAATAGGTTCATACGCCATTTGTTCCTTCAGGAGCCTGGAGTCGATGTGTACCATTGCTTTGGAATTAGGGTTTTTTCCAACTCCATAACTAACAACCCGGTTTAGGCTCCAAACTTTCGCTTTTCATCGTCTTAATTTCTTCAATAACACATCGACGACAAGGCAATGTGTATACGCGTGGCTATGTGATGCATGAATTTAGAAGATAAACATTTATAACGTTTAAGTAATCAATATAAATCCATGTTATATTATTAGACTCAATTGTTGTATGTGACTGATATGGTGTGGGTTTGGATTTCGAGAAGAAAAAGAAGCATCATTTTTGATGAAGATTTCCAAAAAAATTACCTTTTATGACAAATCTCGAACATTATGAAATATAATTCACTTGGTGTTGTTTTACTTGTATCTTCCAATGTGACGATGGACCACGGATGAACTCGAGGAAGCTATAAAAGGCTCAGAAGGAGTTGAAGAGATTCCATCCAATCACCTTTCGGAAGAATATTCTAGAATTCCTACGTGTAGCTTCCCGATCGGACAAGGCTAATAACCCCCTGTATGCGGATTGGAGGAATGTGATGATGATTTCGTTCTTACTAAAAACTATAAATACTTGACACTTATGTACTATAATTGACACTGTTTGGAATAATATTCCTTTCATTAGTCTTCTGTCTTCTCTTTGCGACTTGGAAGGGTTTTGGCGTTCCAGTGCACAGTTATACGCGGTATATCAAATAAACAACCTTCTAAATATAACATCCAATTAATCTTTAGGATTGCAATTGATGAGTCTCTTATTGGCATGTGTGCATGGTGTAAGGATTTCCTCGATTTCGCCTTAATTCACAAGTATTCTAAGCAAAGATGGATGGTGGCTGGTAGTGGAATCCAGGATACGCCTTTTATTGTATTTGGGACTCGTCAAATGGATATACCTGGTTTTCACTACAATCCACTATCTATATTTGCTTATAAAGATTATAAAACACATGTTTACACAAAATAGATAAAATATGACTTTGAATGAACTGTACAGAATGCTTTTCGTTTTAAATAGGATGATGTACTTGCATTCCAGTGTAAATGTTCACACTGTAAAACTGCACCCAGTACTTGCATGTAAAATTCGAACTCAGAACCTTCAGTCTCACGTGAGAACACTTAACCTCTAGATCATTGAGCCGGTATTTGATGATGTCAATATCTAATTGCAATCAATCCATGATCTTTGATATGTCTTGCAATTTTGAACACTATACTCGATTCCTAAGCTTTTCTGAAATCCCCAAGCTTGAAGTATACAGCGACCTGAACACGACAGAGAAGACGTAAAGTATTCGAAAAGTACTTTACTTCAAGGTTCATTTTAATACAGAAAACAGAGGATTTTTATAATATTCTAAATGTCTTTGGGTTCCTCGAAGATTCTAGAATGCTACTAAACATAGTAGCGGTATAATAATCAACCAATCAGAACGTCTACATGTGACGTTTCATATCCTTGATGTTTTCTGGCTAAACTCCAAGTGAACGCTGATTGGATAAAATGCTTCTTAAGGTTTCCTGATCTTTGCATGTCTTTTGCAAGAACTTTTCTGAATCATCCCAACAATTTTGCATAACTCTTCATTCCCTGATTGAATCTAGACATTAACACTGTCAAGTGTTGACCTAATGGTCTAAACGTTAAGCATTCACATCCATAGCTTAAGATCCTGGATTTGAATCTCACACATTGGATCATAAATGTACATTGATGAAAAGTCCTATACTAGAATGATACACACTGATCCAGTACCCCTAGGTTTTCAATGTTGATCTAACACTAATCTATTCATGATCTTAATAACTTGAATATCAAATTGTTTGAGGTAAATGATCTATAATAAGAGATTAGATTCATAGTATAATATTTCAAACTATCAATACATATGTTCCAAAGATCGGTTCAGATAGTTCATCATAGTTTTAGTGGTCAGTATATGACATAGTGTCGTGGTATGAAAGAAAGCTGCAAAGGACTAGCTTCTGTTGGTCCTTCACGACTCCCTGGTTGGGGTCCGAGAGACGGTGTAACGCAGTGGCTAGAGACGTTATCAGATATGGCTCAGAATAGAAGCCAATGGCGATCGTGCTGTAACCTTCTTTTACTTTCTTCATAAAAAGTGGTTGTATCTTCCTTAATTGAAAGATCTCTTCTGATTGTACCTTTCCGTTTCCCCCACCATTGTTCTCTCTCTCCCTCTCTCCCCCGTTTTTTTATAATTCCCCACGTTCATTACTTTTTTTTTCTCTCTTTTCTCCTTCTCTTCAAATTCTCATTGTTTTGTGTGGCGCATATATATTTGGTGCCCCCTTCTGTACCAATATTTATGTGTTCAAATAAATAATAAATAAATAATAAAGATCGGTTCATTCTAGAACCTGACACTATCCTTATATTATAAATCGATAGTTCTTTATATTAACTTTTCTTTTCTAAAATGTAAATAATGATAAAGTGTTTCCGATTTGTTCTACAGTGACATATATATCTATATCTATCTATACATTCATGCATAATCATTGGTGGTCTAATAAAGAAAAAACAAAACAAACGGATACCTGTTGAAAGATTATCAAAAGATTAGAATTATACGATTGAATAAGGAATCAATACTTTCTATCATTCATTCAATAGATTAGTGATTATGTAATGATACAGTTAGTGTTGCTTTATTTGAATGATCCTATTGTTATTTAGGATTGTAATGGATCAGTCTCTTGTTGGTATATGTGTATCCTGTGAAGATTAGGTGGATATAGTCTTACGTCACAAGCTTTTTGTAAGTAAAGATGGATTAGTGGCTAGTAGTGGAATCCAGTTTGACATGCGTTTCGTCTTAGTTGGGACTCGTCGGATGGATATACCTTCATCTCAGAGGTGATGTTCACTCTAGGACTTAAATCCAGTACTGTCTACTTCAAATCCCATCACGTACTCCACTTAGATATTGAGTCCTGACAGCCACTTGTTTGTGCAATGGGATGAAGTTTAAATTCACTGGGTGTTACTTTACTTGTATCTTCCCATTTTTATTTAGAACTGTAATTGATCAGTCTCTTGTTGGTATATAAGGATGCTGTGGGGACTGCCTCGATATTGACTTAAGTCACAAGCTTTTTGTAAGTAAAGATGGATTAGTGGCTAGTAGTGGAATCCAGTTTGACATGCGTTTCGTCTTAGTTGGGACTCGTCGGATGGATATACCTTCATCTCAGAGGTGATGTTCATTCTAGGACTTAAATCCAGTACTGTCTACTTCAAATCCCATCACGTACTCCACTTAGATATTGAGTCCTGACAGCCACTTGTTTGTGCAATGGGATGAAGTTTAAATTCACTGGGTGTTACTTTACTTGTATCTTCCCATTTTTATTTAGAACTGTAATTGATCAGTCTCTTGTTGGTATATAAGGATGCTGTGGGGACTGCCTCGATATTGACTTAAGTCACAAGCTTTTTGTAAGTAAAGATGGATTAGTGGCTAGTAGTGGAATCCAGTTTGATATGCGTTTCGTCTTATTTGGGACTCGTCAGATGGATATACCTTCATCTCAGAGGTGATGTTCACTCTAGGACTTAAATCCAGTACTGTCTACTTCAAATCCCATCACGTACTCCACTTAGCTATTGAGTCCTGACAGCCACTTGTTTGTGCAATGGGATGAAGTTTAAATTCACTGGGTGTTACTTTACTTGTATCTTCTCATTGTTATTTAAAAACTGCAATTTATCAGTCTCTTGTTGGTATATAAGGATGCTGTGGGGACTGCCTCGATATTGACTTAAGTCGCAAGCTTTTTGTAAGTAAAGATGGATTAGTGGCTAGTAGTGGAATCCAGTTTGATATGCGTTTCGTCTTATTTGGGACTCGTCAGATGGATATACCTTCATCTCAGAGGTGATGTTCACTCTAGGACTTAAATCCAGTACTGTCTACTTCAAATCCCATCACGTACTCCACTTAGATATTGAGTCCTGACAGCCACTTGTTTGTGCAATGGGATGAAGTTTAAATTCACTGGGTGTTACTTTACTTGTATCTTCCCATTTTTATTTAGAACTGTAATTGATCAGTCTCTTGTTGGTATATAAGGATGCTGTGGGGACTGCCTCGATATTGACTTAAGTCACAAGCTTTTTGTAAGTAAAGATGGATTAGTGGCTAGTAGTGGAATCCAGTTTGACATGCGTTTCGTCTTAGTTGGGACTCGTCGGATGGATATAACTTCATCTCAGAGCTGATGTTCATTCTAGGACTTAAATCCAGTACTGTCTACTTCAAATCCCATCACGTACTCCACTTAGATATTGAGTCCTGACAGCCACTTGTTTGTGCAATGGGATGAAGTTTAAATTCACTGGGTGTTACTTTACTTGTATCTTCCCATTTTTATTTAGAACTGTAATTGATCAGTCTCTTGTTGGTATATAAGGATGCTGTGGGGACTGCCTCGATATTGACTTAAGTCACAAGCTTTTTGTAAGTAAAGATGGATTAGTGGCTAGTAGTGGAATCCAGTTTGACATGCGTTTCGTCTTAGTTGGGACTCGTCAGATGGATATACCTTCATCTCAGAGGTGATGTTCACTCTAGGACTTAAATCCAGTACCGTCTACTTCAAATCCCATCACGTACTCTACTTAGATATTGATTCCTGACAGCCACTTGTTTGTGCAATGGGATGAAGTTTAAATTCACTGGGTGTTACTTTACTTGTATCTTCCCATTTTTATTTAGAACTGTAATTGATCAATCTCATGTTTTGATTGTCGTTTTGGATAGTAACATCATCTCCTTACTCATGTAAGATAAAGAAAGTAAGCCGACTTTCACTTGTACACTGAATGACATATAATCTCCAAAAGGATGACTTCCAGATGGATGAGCACACATGAGGAGTCTCGCACTAGGATTAAGCAACAGAAAATTACTTCCTGGTTTTTAATAGATTTCCACTGAGGTCGATATGTGATGAATATAATCAAGAAGGGTACAAGTAGTTTATAGATTATATTTAATTTCACTTATTATTAACATTGTGTTGAATAAATTCCAAGTGCTTAATTCTGTATAACCGTCAACATCATCCAGAATTCATATGACAGATTACACGGTAATGTAGTGCATGGAGGACAGCTGACAGACGCATTCCAAGTGGAGACTGGAGTTAGACAATGCTGCTTACTCTACACCTTTCTCTTTCTTTTGATAATTGACTGCATTATGTAGATCTCCACATTTGACAAGAAGCACGGAATAAAGTGGACAGGTTGGATGGAACTAGACGATTTCAACTTCGCAGATGACCTGACCCTTCTATCCCATACAGATCAACAAATACACGTCAAACAAACAGATTAACAGCAGCCTCTGTATCACTAGGCCTCAAAATACACAAAGAAAAAAGCAAGACACTGTAATACAATACAGAGAACACCAACTAAATCACACTTGATAGAGAAACTCTGGAAGATGTGGAATCCTTCACATACCTGTGAAGAATCATTGATGAATAAGCAGGATCTGATGCAGACGTAAATGTGAGGATTAGCAAAGCAAGACGAACATTTCTACAATTGAAGAACATATGGAATTCAAAACAACTGTCAACCGATATCAAGTCAAACTCTTCAATATGAACGTCAAGGCAGTTCTACTGTACGGAGCTGAAACATGGATAACTACTACAACCATCATCAAGAAGGTACAAGTATTTATTAAAACAGTTTTCTACTGAAGATACTCAGTATCCATGACTGGTACTCATTGGCAACAACCAACTATGAGAGAAAACGAACCAGCTTCTAATTGAAGATGAAATTAGGGAAAGACATTAAACGTGAATATGATGTACATTATGGAAATCATCAAACTCCATCACAAATCAAGCTCTAATTTGGAATCCTGAAGGTAAGCGGGAAAGAGGAAGATCAAGGAACACATTGTATCGCAAATCGGAAGCAAACATGATAAAGATGAATAGCAACTGAAAACAACTAGAAAGGATTATCCATGATAGGGGTTAGATGGAGAATGCTAGTGGGTGGTGGTGGTGGTGGTGGTGGTGGTGGACTATGCTCCTCGACGAGGAGTAACAGGCGTAAGTATGTAAGTAAATAAGTAAGTAAGTAAGTTCGATTCTGTAACAACAAACTTACTACGGTACCATTTCGTTTAAATAAATTCGTATTGAATTTCTGTAATAGATGTATTTGAATTGGAAGCTTTTCCAATTGTACAACTGATTGTATATTATATACTGGGCAAATATCTATTCAATATAAAAACAGTATTGTATAGAATAATATTTACAATCCGATTACATAGATTGATAATCAGTTAAAAAGGATATGAAATCTATAAGTTACATTAAAGATTGACCGTAGGTAGATAATCACCGATAACAGATAGGAACTAGTAGTTACTTCATTGTAGTATGAGAGTGAATAATAATGTTCAACCATGATTTAAACAGGGGTCGAACATAAAACGTTTAGTTATGGCATTGAATGATAAACATTTTAACTACTTATTTATTATCAGAAGGGGTTTTGTAAAGATTGTAGTAATTTCAATGATTAATATCATGAATCAATTTAAGCTAGACCACCATAGAAAACCTGGAAGCACTGCATGGCCGTTTTGTCCTATTATGGGACTCCTTAGCAGTGCGCATGCATAACCTCGCCTCCTGCAAGATTCGAACCTAGGACCGACTGATTCTACCTCGCAGGGGGCGAGGTCGTGGATGAGCACTACTTATTTATTATCAAATAGTTATCTTACTAAAGTCATTCTATCAAGTAGACTACAAAGTTAAAAACACTTTTGAGAAATCTCCTATTATTACTAATAATATAAATTTATCTAGTTTGTTCGATACGATTTCATTAGTTGAGATGGCTGAGACACGTGATACATATGCCCAACCATCGACTGCACCGACGTGCAATGTTTTATGATGTAGGAGTAGGTTGGAAGAAACTTAGAGGCTCCAGATCAAAATATAACACAAATCTATGAAGTCACTTACAAGTGGACTGAGTCATGTTGGTAGGTGTAGACCACCTGGTTGGGATCTGCGAGATGATAGAAACCGATGGTTAGAGATCTTGAATGACATGGCTCAAAAACGTTTGTAATGGCACAGGTACATCCACTCATTGTGTTCTTACATACTCTAATTTTCAGAATGTTTCATGTCCCTTTCTTAATTTTCCTCTTTCGAAATTTAATTCACCGTATTATACTTCTTGACTAACATCTTCAAACCCTAATGTTTCCAATTACTGCTTATACTCTTACCATCTCTACCACTACGGGATTTAAATCGACAACTGCATCTCTGTGCTAATGTGGTACTGAAACTCGAACTGATGTACGTACGTACGTACATACGTACGAAGTCCTACGTTGTTACTGACTGACTGATACAACTTAATCCGTCGATAAATTTAAGCAAGGCAAAAGCAACGTAATTGGTAGACTCAAATAGGTTCATTCCATTCTAAGACTTGTTGTCAACTGAAAACAGTCGGTAGGACATTATTTATATATTAAGAAAAACAGTTTATTGAAACTTATAAAGAATCATTGATCACCATAATCTGAAATCATTAGATAGTTGTCATGTTCTAGTATTGAACTGTTCAATGATTGTATGCATCAACGACTCCATCAATGATGATCAAACGTAGAAACTTTGGTCTTACAAGTTAACATTTCACTTCCAGAATACTAATCCGAATAGAGTTAAGCAACTTACATAACTTTCAATTGGATTATTATCATGTTCTCACTAAGGACTAGTTCTGAGAATAAACTTTTGCGGTCTAATGAAAAGACGTGACTAACAAAGTTCAGCAATGTCAAGTGTTTTGAAGGTATCATAGAAAACAATACATTAGGTTGGCGTAACGTATTGAATTAAATAAAGTGAAACTTGTACATCACCGGATATTAGATCCGTGATTAAGAAGTGAGGCGTTAACGTACAAGATCAAACGTTCTACAACAATGAATTTTATCAATTTAAGTAGTGTGGAGATTGTTAAGTTATTGATTGAAATCATGAACCGATTGATGTTAGATCACCATTGAAAACCTGGAAGAACTAGACAACCATTTCGTCCTATTGTGGGATTCCTCAACAGTTAGGTTAGACATTAACACCGTAGAATGCTGGCTCAGTGATCCAGTAGATTAAGCGTTCGCGCGGGAGACTGAATGCTATAGGTTCGAATCCCGCGAGTGAGATCGTCGATGCGCACTGCCACTAGGGAGTCCAGTGTTTCTAGATTTTCAATAGTGATCTGACATCAATCGGTTCATGATCTCAATCAAACACAATGAGTTTCACAAATCAATCTATCTTTCAAGTGTGCTATTGACTATAAACCAATAAATTTACTAATCCATATAGTAAAATGTCAATAAACATCTTTGTACAGTAAGCAATTCAAATGAAACTAACCTTTAATCTTTGTTCCAATATGATTTCCACTTCTGATAAAATATTGTTGCTAAAAAGAATAGGATCGAGTTATTGTGATCCAAATAATGTATAACATATATACATATATATATGTGTTAAGATCGAAATTATATTGATCAAGTTGATTACATCAGTTTGTAAAGAGAGGAAGAACATGTGATTCATTTCTTCTAGGATTAGTCGATCACTATGGTACTTGTACAACTTAGTATTGATCTTGTCACTGATCCTTTATTTAAGTCACTATTGAGTTCAAACACAATACTTTATTCATTTAACTATTAAATCATGATGAAACAAAAAAAAAATCTAAGTTTTAATATTATCTTGTAACTATGGTCACTATCAAGATATCCTATTCCCGGAGCTTATATACTACCAGAGATCAATCAAATTCAGCTCTGAATATTTTGGTAGTATTATGTTCTTTGAGGACGAATAGTTTTATCTTGGAAGTGATCAAAGCATTCAGAAGTTTATTGATTTTGATGATCTTGTCTCCAACTGGTTATCTTTATAGTTTTCCTCATCTTCATCTGTCTTGATTAGTTTGTCCAGTTGACTTCAACATTTGACAAACATATCAATGTAAAACTATCAAGTTTCTAAATTCTGATTTATGGGATCCAAAAGGAAACATTATTTCTTTTAAAATTAATCTGTACATTAAAAAAGCTTTAGGGATTCAGCTATTTAAGTCTAGACTGTAAGAGAAAACAAAATATGTGCAATCTCTCGTTGTTTCATTATCTCTTACACCACATATATATATATATATATATAGGTGTCTTAGAGTGAATATCAACTCTGTAATGTAAGTTTATCCAGCTGATATGTCTCAAATAGGATAAAAGGCACATCCTGAACTCCACTACTAGCCACTATCCATCTTTGCTTAGAGTGCTTGTGAATTAAGGCTATATTAAGGCAATCCGCACAGGATTTAAATCGATGATTATATACGAGGATAGATGATATACATTTCGACAACGATCATTCATACGATCTACATGAAATCAGATCTCGGGCCAGTAAACTAAAGAGCCCGGTCGAAAAACATCATCCAATCTAAATGACGATAAAATAATCCCCTTTCTACTTCTTAATCGATCAGTATATTTGTTGAATCACTTTGGCTAAAACTATATAAGCTTCCATAGATAATGTGGTTCATAATAAAAATCTTCACTAATTTGTATTCATTTCCATATATATATGCATTTGTATGTATCTGTGCCCCTTAATTAGTAATATATAATGAGCTAATCAACTCTAATTGATCTGATTACATTTATGGTAATCAAACAGTTGTGTTATTAAGCGTCTTTGATCATAGTATGGTATGTGCTACTGATATCGACTGATATAAGTAGTATGTTTCATCAATCGAAAATGAAACGTCTGATAGCAGCAGATTAAGAGAAATCAAAAAGCAGAGAATATAGAATAGAGAATAACTGACATGAAAATGATGGAACAATAAAGTCTGTGGTGTTATAATTGAAATATATTTGATTGTTCCCACTGATGTTCTTGTATAATGAGAGGTTTCTATCATCTTGTATTTTAGTTTAGGGGTTGTGGAGATTGTTAAGTTTTTGATTGAGATCATGAACTGATTGATATCAGACCACTATAGAAAACCTGGAACCACTGGATGACCGTTTCGTCTTATTGTGGGACTCCTCAGTGGCAGTGCGCATCGACGATCTCACTCACGGGATTCGAACCCATGGCCTTCAGTCTCCCGCGCGAACACTTAATCTACTGGGCCACCGAGCCGGCATCCAATAGTGTTAATGTATTTCACTGTATTAAGTTAAAAAATAAACAATTGAATCATTATCAGAAGGGGTTTTGTAGAGACTGTATAAATTTCACTAGTTGAAATGACGAGTCAATTGAAGCTAGTGAAATTACTACAATCTCCACAAAATCCCTTTTACTAATTTATTTATTTATTTATTTTAACACATAGATATTGGTACAAGGAGGCACCAAATACATATGCGCCACACGAATCTCAATTGATTTGTGTGAGGGCTGTGATACTGCCCGGGTGCCCAAAGCGAATCAGGTGGCTCTCTTAGGGGGTCACACCCCGAGCCTTCGACCTGAACGTCTGACCCACAAGGCAGTGGAGCATCGTAAGGAGATGCAGTCCCATGGTAGCCAGTCGGTAACCAACGATTGGTTCATACGCCATTCGTTCCCGCAGGATACTGGAGCTAGCCCATGTGCACCACTGATTTGGGATCCGGTTATAGCGCCGGACATTGGCTTTTCATCCTCTAATTTCCGTAAACAACACCCTCGCCACGAGAAGTCAGTGAGTTTTACTTCCGTGGCAGAGGCTGTATACGCGTGTGACCATGTGAGAGCGTTTCGAGAGGGAGAGTGGACTCGCTCCACTCTCGGCCATACCATGGCGTTTGGGGGCCCTTCTACTAATAATAATCATCGTATGCTCACTAGTGACTGACTTCAAGCAACACTCCTGGAATTCTACTGAGAAACCGTGACCAGTAAAGTTCAACTAGGTCTATTGTAAGATATCAGCTCACTGATAACAATGGTAGACGGTATCGCAAATTTCATGGATTGGTTAAAATTGAATCATTTGTAAGTTTTATTCTAGTTCCTATTTAACATATAAGGCCCATACCATAACTTTACCTTTATCAATTTATTTAACTTCATTCAATAACTTACTTGTATACCAATATACGAATGAAACTTTGGTCCAACAATAATCGATTGATCATCATCATCATCATTATCATTATTAACATTGAATAGTTGCCTAGGTGAACAATTTTGATTTCGTACCATTAAATAAAATCCAATATAACCTTTATTTGGTATTATATAATCATATTCTTGTGGATCCAATATTAATTTCAATTCAGCAGCTATTATGAATAGATATCATAGAGGGATTAAGAGATGACTTGGATTGAAATGAACTAAATAAACATAAAATTAATCAATGAAATGATCTCCATGTAATCAATACTGGACTGAATGACTCTATGGTAATGTGTTAGACTAAAGAAATGGGATAACTTAACCTTGAATTCACTAAACACTATTAGTTGCTTTGAGATTTTGAAACATATTTATATATCTAATAATATAGAAGAAATATGAGAATAAAAGTCATGTGAATGGAGTTGATTACAACTTACACACTTACACCTGTCACTCCTTGTCAAAAAGCATTGGCTACTCACTAACATTCTCTATCCCAACCTTGTCTTGTGCAGTCCTTTCCAGGTCTTTTCACTTACTATTCATTCTTTTCATATCTGATTCTAATTTCTGACGTAATGTGTTCTATGGACATCCTGGTTTCTGCTTCCTTTCAGGATTTCATGTTAGGGCTTGTCTCGTGATACAGTTTGATGATTTGAGTCATGTATGTTCTATCCATTTCCATCATCTTTTCATAATTTCCTCTGCAGCTGGAAGTTGGTTTGTTCTCTCCCACAGAAGGCTGTTACTGATGGTATCCGGTCAATGAATGTTGAGTATTTTGCGTAGACAACTATTTATAAATACTTGTACATACTTGGTAATGGTTGTAGTAGTTGTCCAAGTTTCAGTTTCGTACAGTAGATCTGTCTTGATGTTCGTATTGAAGATTCTCACTTTGATATTGGCTGACAGATAGTTGTTTTGAGTTCCATATGTTCTTCAATTGAAGGAATCTGGCTCTTGCTTTGCCAATCGGTGCCTTTACATCTGCATCTGATCTTCCTTGTCTATCGATGATCCTTCCCAGGTCTGTAATGGATTCTACATCTTGCAGAGTTTCTCCATCAAGTGTGATTTAGTTGATGTTCTCTGTATTGTATTACAGTGTTTTGCTTTTTTCCTTGTGTATGTTGAGGCCTACTGATGCAGAGGCTGATACTACACTGGTTGTCTTCATCTGAATTTGTTCGTCTGTATAGAATTGATTACCAATAATTACAAATAAATGTGATTGACAATTAGTCACTTTCTATGTGAAATTTCTCATTATGTTTTTTGAATGATTACACATTAATCGTTCATAATATGGTGTATACTACTGATGTTAACAGATATATAAGTAGCTTGTATCAGAAATCCAAAGTTCAATGTCTGGAAGCAGAAGATTGAAAGAAATCGAAGTGAAGTAAACATAGAACAGGGAGTAATTGTTATGGAAACGAATGAACAACAAAGTCTTTGAATTTATCAAGATTTTCTGTAATGTTTTATTGAAATACATTTGATTGTTCCCACTGGTGTTCTCATTCACTATAATCAATCAGTCAGTGACAACGTAGGACTTCGTACTGACGTAAATCAGTTTGAGTTGCCATATCACATTAGCACAGAGATGCAGGTGTCGATTCAAATACCATAGTGGTAGAGGTAGTAAAATTTCAAGCAGTAGTTGGAAAGATTAGGCTTTGAAGACGTTATTCAAGGATTATAATTCAGTGAAATAAATTTAGAAAGCGGAAAAAAGAAAGGGATATGACGAATTCAGAAGATTAGAATTTTGGAGAACACAAAGAGTGGATGCACCTGTGCCACAGCAAACGATTTTGAGCCATGTCATTCAGGATCTCTAACCATCGGTTGCTATCATTTCGTGGATCCCAACCAGGTAGCCTACACCTACCGACATGACTCAGTTCAATTGTCAGTGACTTCATGGATTTGTATCATGTTTTGGTCTGACCACCTCTAACCTACTCCTACACCATAAAACATCGCTTGTTGGGGTATTCGGTGGTTGGACATGCGTAACACGTGCCCTATCCATCTCAACTGATGAAGTTTAACTACTCCATCAATTAGTTTGTCATCCTTACCTAATACCCGTTTCCTAACAACTACATTACTTACTCAGTGGTCCCAGGATATACGAGCAATGCTTCGAAGACACCTATGATCGAATACTAGTAACCTACAAATATCCTCTACTCCTACAGACCATGTTTCTCTGCCATAAACTAGGACAGATCGAACTGCTGCGCAGTAAACCCGTCCTTTGGTTGATAAATGGATATCTTGCCTGCGCCACAAATGACGCAAGTTGACAAAAGCTAGTCAAACTTTCAGTATTTATGCTGAGATTTCGTCACATACCAGTCCAAAAAGACTGATGAGACTCCTAAGATAAATAAATCCGTCGATACGCTCAACTACTTCACTTTTTATCATTAGTTCGAGTATCGATGCAACCTAATCCTGATGTAACATTTTGCATTTTGAAGAGGGGAATTGCATCTCATTCACTACAATAAAACTCGACTTTGTATTACAATTTTACATTATTCTGTACTGAGAATGTTTGTAATATGAAAAGCAATTATCATTATTGATATCATTAGTTGAGATATCATTGACAATGCAAATCAACTTATCATTGGATTCTTCAATAATGGTGTATTAAACGAAGACATGGTGGAGAAAACTATTATCGCTCTGTTTCCTTTCCTCCACTCTTTATTTGAATCCTCTGCTAGTAAGCAATCCACTTCCAATTCCTACTATATACTACTTATATCTATCTGTATAAGTGGCATACATCACACCGGAGAACATCAACCCTACAAAAGAAATTTCAATTCATGATTACTAGACCTCAAGTCATTATTCATGTTTTAGCTATTTCACAAAATAGTGTCTACAACTAAGCGGTCTGACATTTTGATAAGATCATTATAATTGGTCTTGACGATTCTCACTCACTTAGAAGCTTAAAGGCCAAAGGAGAAGAGGAAGACCAAAGAGCACAATATGCCAAGAAATGGAGACGAACATGAGAAGAATGGACAACAATTGGATAGTACTAAGAAGGAAGGACTAGCACAGAGTGCGTGGGAGATTACTGGTCGGTGACCTATGTTGAAATGAGGTAACAGGGGTAAGTAGTAAGTAAGTAAGGCATTATAATTGATTCAAACAACCTATCCAGACCATGAAGAAATGGAAGCAAACAGCTTCTTGTAATGAATTCTTTCCGTAACCTTTATTTAAGTAAGTTAAACATTAGGATAGTTAGGATCATGATGACAATGGTGAATGTGTCACTCGATTTCGTAGATTCGTTGAAGTTAGACATTAACACCGTTAGATTCCGACCAGTTCATTGGTCTAGTGTTTAAGCGTTCACTCACAAGACTGATATGTCCTGGGTTCAAATCTTGTCGGGAGGAAAAGGCGGAGTTGTGAATGCGCACTGCTGAGGAGTCCTACGATAAGGCAAAACGGCCGTCAAAGAATACTTCCAGGTTTTTCATGACGGTCTTTTTGATATGCTAACGAAATCGCTGAAATTGAACTGCCAAAATTGAAATTTAAGAAAAACAAACGTTTCAATCTTAATTTTTAATATAAAGAAAGTAAACTTAAAACATCAAAATATCCCTTACTTCTCGAAGAATTCAAATGAAATTGATAACACCATCCATGTGTTGTAAATATTGAGATAAAATCATTAATTGTACATTGATCATCACCATATTGACAACTGAAACGGTATAAAAATTAAAACAAAATTGAATGTAATCATAAAATATGAAGTCTACTAGTTGAATTCATGAACCGATGTAAGCTAAACCATTGTTGAAAACCTGAAGGTATTAAACAGTTGTTTCGTCCTTGTATAAGACTCCTCAACAGTGTGTATCTGTTCAGTGTTTTCAAGTTTTCAATGGTGATCTAGTTTACATCGACTGATGAATTCAACTATTAAAATGACTACAAACTTCACAAACAATGATATGTATCTGATATGTATGATAAAACTATATTCTACTGACAAATTAAGGCATGTAATAGTGTTTCAATGGGTAGTCTTTGAGTAACTTGGATGTATATATCAGTTATGCGCTAAATGGTGTAACGGCAGTAAGCTGTTTGCTTCAGATAACTAGCATAAGAGCAATGCTACCTGCCTACAAGAAAGGGTGGGGTTAGTAAATGTCGACCCTAAAAATGCGCACCTCGCCTTATCCCACGAATATCCGTCTCCGGCGGTAAAAGTCCCTTGGACACTGCGGTCACGCTCTCAGGTCACTAACACCACCTATAATTTAAGTTCCTTTCCAGGTACCTCCAGAAGAACCTATCCACAGTGTGGGCAATCGGGAAGTGATAACCGTCCTCACACCTCTAACGGCACTGAAGACCACTGTATTCATAATCAACCTCCCTTTTCACGCTGAATGGTTGAGGTCAATTCGAAGAAATATTATGATCTGCAAACTTAAATGAAGGAAAGAAGTGAATCATTTCAAAGTTTACATCACGAAATGATCATAATTAAACAACTACTAAAAATAAAGAAGCATTGAACAGTTGACTTGTCTATGTACGAAACTCCTTTGAAGTCCGCATTTATAACCATAACCGAAGATCAAACCTATATCTTTTAGATCTTGTAGAGAGCTCATAACCTTTAGATTATTGAGTTGATTTCAAATGATTCATCTTTTTAATCTCAGTTAGATCTCAGCATTTGTAATCATAACTAAATGTCATTATTAGGTAACTGTCTGACACCCATGACAGTGCAGCTACAATGGTCACGGGAAATAGATTTAGACAATAATTACCAATATACAGAAAATCACTGTTAGATTATTTATTCTGACAACATACTTCCCACTGATTAAGAATCCTTCATTAAGTCACATTCTTCAAGTGTTTTATAACAACTTGTCATCAAATTAAGATTCTAATCAGAGAAGAGTTTTTGTGAATATTATAGTAATTTCAATGGTTGAGATCATGAATGAATTGAAGCTAGATCATCATGGAAAACCTGGAAGCACTGGACGGCTGTTTCGTCCAATTGTAGAACTCCTCAACAGTGCATATCCACGACTTCACCTCACAAGATTCAAACCCAGAAGATAGTAACTCACTGAAGACATTAGTGGATGTGTCGCTCGATTTCGTAGATTAGTTGAAGTTAGATATTAACACCGTTGGATGCTGGCTCAGTGGTCGAGTAGGTTAAGCCCTCAAGCACGAAACCAGTAGGTCCTGGGTTCGAATCTCGCAGGAGGCGAGATTGTAGATGCGCACTGTTGAGGAGTCCCATAAGAGGACGAAACGGCCGTTCAATGCTTCCAGGTTCTCCATGGTGGTCTAGCTTCAATTCACTCATGATCTCAACTATTGAAATTACTATAATATTCACAAAAACTCTTCTCTGATTAGAATCTTAATTTGATGACAAGTTGTTATAAAACACTTGAAGAATATGACTTAATGAGTACAAAATTACAGAATATCTCACTAAATCCATCGTCTTAAACTTGACTGTTCCTGTTACAAACATCAATCTATTGTCTCAGATTTCATTGTTCTTTCCTTTTCATATTAATTACGTTCCGTTCCTGTTCTTTCCTCATTGACCTTCTACTGAAATACATTCTATACCTGACCATCGTTACATACTACTTATATGGATATAAGTAACCCACATCACAATATGAACATAATAATGACTCAATCTCTCCATAAACATATAAATATTCTTTAAAACAGATAAATTGTGGTTAATAGTATGATTCATTCCTATTCGCATGTCAGTAGTGTTTTTGCTGGGGCTCGAACCAAGTATCTTTAGCTTTAATTGATAAAATGTGATTCATGGAACTAGTGATTACAGGTAGCCATTAACTTGATTAGAAGGTATAACGTTTTTAACCCATTATTAGTATTGGTTTGAATTATTCCTTTGAAGATATTCATGATTAATATTTTTCCTCAGCTATTGATGATATATGCGCATCCTGAACGCATTGGTCTAATAGAGCCAATCTGTCATGAATTTATCCCTTTTTGAACCCATAACATAGATGATATGAGTAGCATACTCATTGATCAGCTTAATAACGATTTGAATCCGGTAACTCATCAGACTACACGTCTATCTTTTAAAAAATACAAGGAGACAGCAAACAGATATGCGCCACATAAATCATTCTATTCGCGTAAGAACAGGGATACTACCTGGGTGCCCAAACTAAAGCAGGTGGTTTTCTTAAGGATTCACACCTGGATCCCTTGACGTAGAAGTCTGACACACAAAGCAGTGAAACAACGTAAGGAGATACAATCCCATGGTAGACGGTGACCAACAATTGGTTCATACTCCATTTGCTCCCTTAGAATCGTAGAGCCCATGTGCATCATTGGTTTGGAATCCGGGTTTTCCAACTCCCCTAGGTAAACTTTCCGTATCCACCAACCCAGTTAAACCGTCAGATATTCATTTTTTTCCGCCTTTCAATGTTGTAAGTAACAACTCACCACCCACCCGCGAATCAATATTCACCTCTTATTACCAACCTCTAATGATAACTCATTATTAGAATAAATAATTATGGGAAAATTTAAAAAAGGGTAAATCTCTAGAGAATCAATCTTATCACCCTGTTATACTCATAGGATTCTTAACATTAACCGGTAATAAATGAAAGTATTATGACCTTATGAAGGTTTACCCAAAAAGAAAAAAGAGAAAAAAACAAGCGGTAAATTAGATCATGACCTTTAAGATTATCTATTTGGTTTAAACAAACAAACAAACAAACAGTAAATTATAGCTTGTTTACTATTCAGTAGTACTGTTTATTTTACTCTTCACAATTCTATATTTTTTTAAGGTATCCATACCCCTTGTTGTTAACCGTTCCCATATATATATATATATAAGGGGGGGGATAGGATATGGTTCATGTTTCAAATCGGTTAATAAATTGTCTATTTGACCTTGATAATGATGAATAATTAATGAAGTAAATATAAACATTTAAAAACGTTTTATTTTGTGTGTGTGTGTGATATAATTGATAATGATGAAAATGAAAACGACAACATTATTACTGAAGAGTCTTACAATAGGACGAAACAACCATCTATTGCTTACAAGTTTTTCATGATGGTCTAACTTCAATTAACTCATAATCTCAGTTATTCATCTCAATTATTATAATATACATAAAAAGACTCCCACTCTCTTCTGTTACTTAGATATATTTGATTCAATGTGATGATGATGATGATCCTTGGATGATGATGATGATGCTTTGGATGATGATGACTTCCCTGTCAGTGGCTGTATATGTGTGGCCATGTGAGAATATTTAGAGAGAGAGAGAGCAGCCACGATCCCTTTCACGGGATTCTACCTCAGTAAAATGGAAGATCTTCGCGTAACTTCGTGGATTGGTTGAGGTTAGACATTAACACGGTTGGATACCGGCTCAGTAATCCATTAGGTTAAACGTTCGCGCACGAAACTGAAGGCCCTGTGTTCGAACCCCGTGAGCAGGATCGTGGATACGCACTGCCACTCAGGAGTCCCATAATAGGACAAACCGGCCTTTGAGTGTTTTCAGGATTATACTCTTTGGTTAACATTCTCAAACACTAATCTACTACCTCTACCATTTGTGATAATTGAGAAAATTTGTAGCTCAGGTAGATAATTTTGATGGAGTTTTGTTCTTTGAGTTGGACGACCAAACTATCCAACTCAGAGAATAAAACTCCATCAAAAACGTCTACCACTATAAGATTTGAATGGACAATTGTATCTATGTGCTAATATGTTATAACAACTTGAACTGATGTATGTACATACGAAGTTCTACGTTGTTGCTAACTGACTCACCGACTGAGCAAACTGATCCAAGTGTTCAATCAGAAAATTTACCATAAAAGTTGTCTGGTTTACACGTAAAGTTAAATATATTTGAAGGCGTTTGGTGGATATTATATTAATTTTATTCGTTAAGATCATGAGTCAATTAAAACTAGACCACTATAGAAAACCTGAGAGTACTGGATAGCCGTTTCATTCTATTGTGGGACTCCTTAGCAGTACGCATCCACGAACTCAAGACCTATCAATCTCGTTCGTGAACGCTTAACCACTAAACCAATGAATCGGCATTCAACGGTGTGAATATCTTACCTTAAATAATCCACAAAATTGAGCAATACATCCACCATTATCATTAGTAAGTTACTATCTTATAACAGACTCAGTTGAATTCTACTAGTCATTGCTTCTCAGTAGAACTCCAAGAAATACCTCTTGAAGCCAGTCATTAACAAGTATATGTTGATGAACATCAGAAAGATCTACAAGTTAAGCGCTCCCTAACGAGATTGATAATTCCTGGATTCAAATCTTCCGAATCAAGATCATGGATATACACTGCTGAAGAGTTTCACAATACTACAAAACATTCATCAAACAGTACTTTCAGGTTCTCCATAATAGTCTAACTTCAATTGACTTATGATCTTAACTATTAAAATTATATATTTATTTATTTATAAATCTAAATAAAAATGAAAATTTACAAAAAAAAATAAAAGAAAACCTAATTTTCTTGTGTTTTTTTTGTGTGTGTCCACGAAAAATAGAAGAAAAAAAAGAAAGAAAAAAGAAAGAAAAAGAAAGAAAAAAGAAAAAAAGAAGAAAAACAATTTCGCTTTTTTTTCCTGTTAATAAAACTAATTGAAAGTTTCCCCTTGACTAATTTTTATTTATTTTTTTAAAAAAAAACAATCAAAATGTTTCATGTAGGTGTTTTATGCCTTTTTTCTTTTTTTTTTTAAAAAAAAGAAATTTATATAATACAGTTTTCTTTCTTTTTTTCTTTTCTTTTCTTTTCTTTTTTTCTTTTTCTTTTCTTTTTTTTCTTTTTTAAATGTTTTAAACACTTAAATGAAATTATACATAAATCTAGTAACAAATCATTTTTTTTTGGTTTTTGTTTCTATGGGGATGACAAGAGAAGAGGGTGAGAGTTGGGACTGGGGTGGAGTGCGGTGGGGTGGGGTGGGGGATCTAAGAAGAAAGCGAATAAATTTGAATGTTTCAACTAATTTAAACTTATATTATTGACCATTGTAGGTAATTATAAATAAATGGTGTTTATTTTATAACTTTAACGTGAATTCAAGTCTGTTTATAAAGAGAAGAAAAAGTTTATCAGTATCCATGTTGATCATTTGCACGTTTGTGAATGAGTTTTATAAGAATGTGAGAAGAGAGTTTGCTCTCCCTCTCGAAATCCTTTCAGATGATCACGCGTATACAGTCATTGACTGAGATGTCCTACTCACTGACTTCTCGCAGCGGAGGTATTATTTACGAAATTGAGAGAACGAAATGCTAATGTCTGATGCATTAATCGGTTTGGTGGGTACAGAGGATCCAACCAAAGGAGTTGGAAAATCCTTATTCCAAACCAATGGTGCACATGGGTTCCAGGATCCTAATGGAACGAATAGCGTATCTCAACCAGTTGTTGGTTCTCGGCTACCATGAATCTGTATCTACTAACGTTGCTTCACTGACTTGTGGATTAAACCTCTAGGTGAAAGGTTCGTGGAATGGCTCTCTAATGAAATCAATTACTTCAGTTTGAGCAACCAGACAGTATCCCAATCCTTACACAGCACTGAGGAATCCTATACTAGGACGAAACGGCCGTCCAGTGCTTCCAGGTTTTCAATGGTGCTCTAACATCAGTCGATTCATGATCTCAATAGAAAACATTTTCCTTTCCATTTATCAATGAAAAATATAGTCACATCGATTTGACAACAGTTACGTCATAAATTATAGATGGAACTTTAGTATAACAAATATTCTTTTATACAAAATGAAATATGAGTTCATGTATAAGTTTGGATCTTAAATGAAATCTTCAATAAGAAATCCTACTTAATGAAGTAATTCACATAGAAATAATTATTATTCAGAGAAGGGTTTTGTGGATATTAAAGCTAGACCATTATGGAAAATGTAAAAGCACTAGACGGCGTAACTTTGTGGATTGTTTCAAGTTAAACATTAATACCATTAAGTGTCGAATCAATCAATGGTCTAAAAGTTAAGCTTACGTGTGAGAGATTGATAGATACTAGCTTCAAATCTCACGAGGCCGGGTCATGGACGCACACTATTGAGATATCCCATACTACGATGAAACGCTCTTCCAACGCTCACAAATTTTCCATCATGGTCTCATGAATACAACTATTAATCAGCAGATAGACTGTCAAGATACTTTCAAACAAGAACACATTACTTCGAGAAATGTAGAGAAACATGAGAAAGATAAACAACAATTGGATAGACCTAGAAAAGCAAGCTTCAGAACAGAGTGGGATGGAGAATGTTAGTCAGTGGCCTATGTTCTATTCGGAGTAACAGACGTAACTAACTAAGTCATGATAATGAATATATATATATATATATATATATATATATATATATATATATCTAATAAACCTTAAAGCAAATATAGATATAAATTATAATTTACCTTTTCAATGTTGTAGATAGTGAATGAGCCATAGATTTAATTTGTTCCGGTGTTAAATATGTATCATTTAATAGATGAATCATATTAATTTTACCATATTTTGTAATTAAATAAGTATATATATCACTTCCATTAATTAATGAATATAAAGCGGATAATCTAAGAAAATATCAAGAAAAAAAAGAGAAAAATAGAGAGAAAAACAAATCAATAAAAGGTAACTTTAATTAGAATCAAACGGGGTGGTGGTCGTGGTCGTGGTGGTGGTGGTGGTGGTGGTCGTCGTCGTCGTCGTCGTCGTGGTCGTGGTGGTGGTGGTCGTGGTGGTGGTGGTGGTGGTGGTGGTGGTCGTCGTCGTCGTCGTGGTCGTGGTGGTGGTGGTCGTGGTGGTGGTGGTGGTGGTGGTGGAGATTGTAGTAATTTCAAAAGTTGAGATCATGAATCAATCCAAGTTAGATTACGATGGAAAACCAGCCGTTTGATCCTAGTATGGGACTCTTCAGAAGTGTGTATCCACGATTCCACCTAGCGAGATTCGAACCAAGGATCTATTTTAGTTAATAACCATTCAATAAAAGGTAACTTTAATTAGAATCAAACGGGGTGGTGGTGGTGGTGGTGGAGATTGTAGTAATTTCAAAAGTTGAGATCATGAATCAATCCAAGTTAGATTACGATGGAAAATCAGCCGTTTGATCCTAGTATGGGACTCTTCAGAAGTGCGTATCCACGATTCCACCTAGCGAGATTCGAACCTAAGATCTATTTTAGTTAATAACCATTCAATAAAAGGTAACTTTAATTAGAATCAAACGGGGTGGTGGTGGTGGTGGTGGAGATTGTAGTAATTTCAAAAGTTGAGATCATGAATCAATCCAAGTTAGATTACGATGGAAAATCAGCCGTTTGATCCTAGTATGGGACTCTTCAGAAGTGCGTATCCACGATTCCACCTAGCGAGATTCGAACCTAAGATCTATTTTAGTTAATAACCATTCAATGGATTATAAAATAGACAGTAAATCAACCATAATTGTGTTCTTTTTCAACCTTGGTTCATTTATTTGATATTGATGAGAAGGAAAAAGCGGTTAGTCTTGAAAAAAAAAATACAAACTTAGTTTGTGGAATAATATATGCTTTTGTATGGTATTATAGAAGGAACATCATTATGATAAAATTGTAAAACTTTATTGGGATAACTCTGAAAACACTGTCAACAGTTCTACTTTACTTGGAATTCAACTCAAAGACAATCACTACTTGACATCAGGATGGATTGATTCCTCTGATTCAAATGGATTGATTGTGAAGCTTTCATTTTCATCTGAAATGGACGCTGATGATGTTGTTGTAGAACAATAATAGCTTATTTACTTACATCTGCTACCCTCAATGAAGCATATAAAGCCGACCAGCATTCTGCAACTCACTCTGTCTTGGCCCTTCCTTTCTAGTTCTATTAACTTGTTATTCATTCTTCTCATGTCTGTCTCCAATTCTGGGCATAATATATTCTTTGGTCTTCCTCTTCATCTGTGAAAACTAATTCGTCCAGCTGCATCCTAGATGACCACTGTATCCCGTGATCCCTCATCACACGTTGACGTCTTCATGACCCAGTTGATCACCAGGAGAAAGAGAAAGGATGAGATTAAACAACCTTGCTTGACACCGGTCTTTACTTTGAACGAGTCTCTGAGCTGTTCTCCATGCACTACTTCACTGTTTAATCCATCATAAGAATTCCATATGATGTTGACCATCTTCTTAGGCATGATATAGTGTCGTAGAATCCTCCATATTGTTATCCTATCCACTCAATCAAATACTTTCTGTTAGTCAATGAAGTTGATACTTCACGAATAAACTATCCAAATGAAAGAATATAACACTAAAACACTTTGATATACTAGTGACCATTTGTTTCGTTGTAATGCACATATTTAAATGAGTTTCATTGTATTGTTTACTTACTAAATCCTTTATCTTCGGGTGGGGGGAAGGTTTATTCTGTAAACCAGTTTACTCTCTCCATTCCTCTTTTTTCTGGTGGTCGACTGAATTATGAAGACTTCGACATCTGAGGAAAAACACGGCATACAATGGACATCTCAGAACCAATTAGACGATTTAGACTTAGCAGATGACCTAGCCCTCCTATCCAATACACCCGAACAAATGAAGACAAAGACAGCCAGCATAGCAGCAGTCTTTGCATCAGTAGGCCTCAACATACACAAAGGCAAAAGCGAAATCCTCAAATACAATACGCAGAACACTAACACAATCACACTTATTGAAAAAATTCTGGAAGATGTAGAATCGTTCACGGACCGGAGAAACATCATCGATGTACAAGGAAGATCAGATACAGACATAAAGGCAAGGATTCGCAAAGCAAGGGCCAAATTCCTTCAATTGAAGAACATACGGAACTCAAAGTAACTTTCAACCAATTTCAAAGTCAAAATCTTCAATACGAACGTCAAGACAGTTCTACTATAGGGAGCTGAAACTTGGAGAACTACAACAACCACCATCAAGAAGGTACAAGTATTTATCAGTAGCTGTCTACGCAAGATACTCAACATCCATTGACCGGATACCATCAGTAACAGCCTACTGTGGCAGAGAACAAACCAGATTCCAGCTGAACAGAAAATTAGGAAAAGATTATAGAAATGGATAGGACATACATTACGCAAATTATAGAACTGCATCACGAAGCAAGCGCTTACTTGGAATCCTGAAGGAAAGCAGAAAAGAGGAAGGCTATAGAACACATTACATCGGAAAATTGAATCAGATATGTAAAGGATGAATTAGAACTGGAAAGACCTGGAATGGACTACACAGAACAAGGTTAGATGAAGAATACTGGTAGGTGGTGGCCTATGTTCTTTCGCAAAGAGTAACAAGTGTAAAGACTAAAGAACTAATTTAACGTAATTTTAAATCTGAATATTGAAAATTCAATCATTAAAACAAAACAATCAGAATTGAATATTGAACAAGTAATCATAATCATAGTCTTAAGTTCAATACTTAACATTAAGATCTATTTATAAGTTTCATCATGCATGAATGTATAAAGCTTCAAATGAATGAGTTGATTACTTATTCATTATTGATTTTGATTTTATATCCCAGATAATAACAATCTATTTCATTCAAAGTTGTTGAAGAAGAAAGATTTACATTAATTCAATTGATAACAAATGGTAAAAAGAAAGAAATTATCATTATAGATCTTGAGAAGATCATCAACCGATTGATTTTAGATCAAATATTGAAAACCTAGAAGTACTGGACGGCTATTTCGCTCTATTATAGGATTCCTCAGCAGTGCATACCCATGATTCCGATTGTGAGATTTGTATCCATGTGACTAGCTTCATAAGAGAATTCTTGGAGTTATAGTGAGAAGCAGTGACTAGTAGAGTTAATCTGTGTCAGTTGGAGACAGGTACAATGGAAGATTGTCACTCACTTTCTTGGATTAGTTGAGATTAGACATTAACACCGTTGGATGTCCGCTTAGTGCTCTAAAGGTTAAATTTTCACGGGTGAGACTATGTTCGAATCCTACGAGTAGGATCGTGGATGCGTACTGCTGAGGAATCTCACAATAGGACGAAACGGCCGTTCAGTGATTCCATGTTTTCAGTGGTAGTCTAACATCAGTTGACTCATGATCTCAATCAAAAACTTAGTAGGTTTAGAGTTACTTAACCATGCTAAAACTTTTCAAAGGTGCTTTTTATATACTGGGATGAGAAACACCTGGAGGTGAACGCTAGTGGGAGCGATTGATATGAAATTACAGAGCATCCCAATAAAATCTGAGAACCATATAGTAAATAGTTAATTTGCTAAATATCAATCCATTGTCTCGCCGTACTACTTTATTCTTCTCTGCAGTCTATGCCACGCTCTCCGTCAAAATATCGAGCCTACCGCTTGCTGACCTGCATAATTCCGTCGGCCTACAGAGGCATCAACATCCGATATCCTCCTGGCACCTGGAAAGTTCAGCGCCTGTTCTTTTCAGCGGCCTACTGAACTATCTACATTCGATGTCCGCCCAGCATCCTTACGTCCCACTGCTCCTCTCAGTCGACAGTATCCGCTACAGCCAACACCATGTAATACTTGAAAAGTTAACAAATGACTAAACTAGAGTCTGATGAATTTTCAGCTTTCTGATCTATCGTTTAGATAATTTGCCTAAAAGCTTGTAAGTTACACTAATCACTCCAAGTACTATCCAATAATTCATTATGTTTGGCTCATGATAGTTCCAAGTCATTGATTAAACCGTTTAATGTATACTGATATCCTGGTGACGTCACCGTTGAAGCTAAGACCAAAACATCTTACAGATACCTGTTTTATCTCATATGTCAATATTTTTCTTTGTTGTTAAATATTTAGTGATATTCTTCATAGAGCGTGACCTACAGGTCCTGAGTTCGAATCTCGTTTAGTGAAACGTCAACAGCGGTTATCACAAATGAACATACTTACTTACCTAGACCTGTTACTCCTCGTGGAAGAGCATAGGCCGCTCACAAACATTCTCCATCCAACAATGTCCCGTGCGATACTTTTCCAACTCTTTGCAGTTCCAATTCATCATTTACATATCTGATTCAGTTTTCCGATGTTACGTGTTCTATAGCCTTCCTCTTTTCCACTTGCCTTCAGGATTCCAAGTAAGCGCTTGTCTCGTGATGCAGTTTCGTGATTTGCGTAATGTATGTCCTATCCATTTCCATCATCTTTTCCTAATTTTCTGTTCAGCTGGAATCTGGTTTGTTCTCTCCCACAGTAGGCTGTTGTTGATGGTATCCGGTCAATGGATGTTGAGTATTTTGCATAGACAATTGTTTATAAAAAATTATTCACTTTCCTTGGTGATTGTAGTAGTCCTCCAAGTTTCAGTTCCGTACGATAGAACTGTCTTGACGTTCGTATTTAAGATTGTGACTTTGATATTGGTTGAAGGTTGTTTTGAGTTGCATATGTTCTTCAATTGAAGTAATGCTGCCCTTGCTTTGTCAATCCTCACCTTTACGTCCGCATCTGAACCTCCTTGTTCATTGATGATGCTTCCCAGGTATGTGAAGGATTCCACATCTTCCATAGTTTCGCCATCAAGTGTGATTGTGTTGGTGTTCTCTGTGTTGTATTTGAGGTCCTTGGTTTTCCCCTTGTGTATGTTGAGGCCTACTGATGCAGGGACTGCTGCTTTACTGGAAATGAACATAACTTGT